GTAATCTTCACCAGCAACAACAACTGCATTTATTCTCAACCAATTTATCAGGTTTGTTCTCGTTTTAGTTAGAGTTGCCTCTCTACCTTTAGTCTCGAAAATTCGAAAGCAATATAATTATACATAGCTGGAGAAAAATAGTTTATTACATATTATTATCTACAGAAATTGATAAATGACTACTGTAAAACAAGTGGAAAAAAGTGTCTTGCTACCTTTTGATTGATTTCATTTCCACAATCATATCTACTTTCAAAAAACACACCATATTTGTTGAGGATTCTCATTCTTAAAATTATTGCGAGTTTTTCATCATAACATTCTAATAACAGAATATTATGTCTATTACCAGATAAGAGAGGTTCTACCAGCTCTTGACGGTAGTTGAAAACAGTAGGACAATATATTCTATATTATCATATTATCTAAAGCAATTCACAAGTGACTACTTCAGCCATAGGAGAATGACGTCTCTTGCCAGCTTTTCATTCATTTAATTTTTATAATCATATCAACCTTAAAACCTAACCAACTTTCCATATAGCTGAACCTACTACTTTTTTACGCAATCCCAATACATTATTATAAATTGATCCAAAAAAATTTTTCCTTTCCTTTTATCTTTTCTACCACATCTTGCGCCACTTCAAGAGAATGAGCCAGTAACATCAAAATGCCTACCGTATTCTCATAACTATAACAAGGCATACAGTGAACAAAAACCATTCATATTTGTTAGAACAATTTTCATTTCGTCACAGTCACTGACACCAACAGTCGACTAAGATTCTAGTTACAGTTAATAATATTATCCGAAATTAATATGTGGAAATGTCTATATATTAACTGTTACATTGAAAAGTAATTCATATGCATTATACCTATCCTACAATTATTACCTAAGTAATTATAATATTAAGACACCAGCTGAGGAGTCCCACCATGGAGAGACAAACCCTTGCCGTGGTTTGGCGATTATTCTTATCTCACAACCACACCCAAGCAATACGTACTGATTCAAAAAATTTATCCTTTTTGGATCTTTTCTACTACTACTTAGGCCACTTGATAAGATTGAGTCAGAAACATCGTAGTAACCCTGTTTATTGTGGTAACTAATACACACCCAACCACACTCACACCCACACTCTCAAGTCTTGGCGATGCTGTCGTCAATGTCCAACATTTTACTCAGTTCATTTACGAAGGAAGTCAAGTCTATGTGTACAGTGCAAAGTTGAATGATGAATATGAACATCAACCATTGAAATGGAGCTTCTATTACGTGCCTGTTCTTCAACCATTGAAATCATCGAACACGACTGAATGGACTTGGCCAATCAAGAAGGAAGTCCGAATGAAATTAACTTTAGGCAATGATCAAGTTGAAGATGCAGCACGTCGAGCTATTGCTAATCGATTCAATGCTGGAATTGTCTCAAATGATTCTCATTTTTGGATTGTTGCTCCCCTGATGATTGATTCAATGACCGCTTTCATTGTCGAAGTTAGCGGAGATTCAGTAGAAGGTATTTCTCCATTTCGACTCGTACATCCGAATGCACTTGCCATTACATTTCGTTACGAATGTTCAAATGAGAATAAGACACATGAAATTGTTGAGAAATTGATCGATGGTGACTATGAAATTGAAGTTCATTTTTATTTTGCTGGTTTCAAACATGTGTCATCCAATATTGTTTCGATTACGGGTCAACATCTTAAATCAGTAGTGAGTAAGACGACGGCAGATGGAGGCAATTCAAATGCCAAATACATATATTGTGCGCAGACGAACAAATTCGTTGGCATCTATGCGACGAATGTTAAGAAATTGATCTATATGGAGAAGCCGGGCGTTAATATATCATCATTGACAAGTGGACTTGATGAACAATTTCAAAGTTTATTTCAGCAAGGTAAAATCATTGTTTTAACAATATCCGATTACCGTTTGTTGCATGAAAAATAATGCTGGAGAGTAAGATGGGAAATGTTAGGAGATCCGCGTGATGATGATCGTTGTTATGTCACGTTTATTTTCGAACGCTTCATACAATCATCCATGAGAGATACTGGGAAAATTCTTATTAAGCAAAACAGAGAGACGAAAAAGAGTGAGGATGGGTAGGTGAAGGTGAGTCTTCTCTTCATCCTCACCCCTCTAGCCTCACCCACTCAAATACCCACCATCTTTATATAAACCTCCCTGAGTAATATAAATGTCGCACAACCATAAAAATCGACGTCTATCTGTAGGAATTGATAGTGCCACGGAAATACGACTCTCTGCAAAATCCTACGACCAAATATGGCATTCTTCTGATCTAAATCCTGATCGTCTGACGACTGAACTGAACAAGTTGTTCACTTTCAATGGCACGGCAACTCAAAAGCATAACAATACGGATGTGTTTTTCAAAGTCAATTCTCAGAGTACATCTTCGTTATCGAAGACGTCCACTTTTAGTGGAGGCGGTAGTTTCATGGGCTTTCGTGCATCGGCTTCTCACTCTGGATTTAGAAGTGAAGCATTAACGCGAAATGATGACAAAACAACACACGATATTCTCTCAGCCAGTGATATTCAACATCGTATTGGACAAGAAGGAGTCGAAATCGAATGGACAGGAGAAAAAATTGAGCCTAAATCGTTTAGAGTTTTCAAGTTGACGGATTTCACGGACAAACTGCAGGTGAACTTAAGACATTTTTACGATTTGAACGATCGAAAAATCCTTTTTCTAAATTAGGTTCCCATTGTAAGCAAGCAGATGTTTGCAGAAAAACATAACGGTGCCATTTCTCGGCGTGTAAGTTCTCTAAATGGACCCATCAGTGTGACTGCTAGAAGCTCGTCTATGATCTTTCCGGGGGAGATTCGCCTCTTTGCGAGTACATCTTCTCCTCCCTTTAACTGGTTGATTTGCAATGGTGCTCTGCTAGCACGAAAAGAGTATTCTACATTGTTCCAAGCCATTGGTACACTCTGCGGAAGGGGAGTTGAAGGAGAGACCTATTTTCGTTTGCCCGATCTTCGTGGCCGAGTAGCATTGGGTGCTGATGAGTTAGGTGATCACGTTGCCCATACAAAATATGTGGGCAAAGTAAGAGGACACTCAGTACATGTTCTCACTGTTGCTCAAATTCCAGCTCACGTACATCAATCCGGCACTCTCAATGCTCGCCGTGGTGGAGAGCATACGCATTCTTACGACTATCCGGGACACAATCATGGAGGACATACAGGATCAAATCATTTCGCGCATGGAGGCAGCCGGGGTTGTGGATCGAAGGGTGAATTCCTTGACTGGAAGCATCACACACACACAATTCAGACTGATCGAACATGGATAATGATTCACGCTGCAGGAGCCCATGGTCATTCAATTGATGGTACAACAGCTGCTGAAGGCCAGGGACAACAATTTGGTATTATGCATCCGTATCAGACCGTTGACTATATTATATATGCAGGATCGGATTTGACAGCGCCTGCTATGGAGTAAATGAATGCCCAGATAAATGACAAATTTCGATCGAGTTAGATGAATGTATTTGAGTCCTCAATTAGTTTTCAGTAATAAACGATTGCAAAAATATCTTAGAGTAGAAGAATGAGGGTGACTCACTAAATCAGATTCAACTTGCAAGAAAGAAACAAATTCAAACTGTAATGCTCCACATTGTTGATGGCATAAATGTCCATGAAATATTCAATGAAGAAAAATATAATAACAGACGATACTAACGAATATTGAAAAGTGGCATGAATGTATACCAATTGTTCATTCGTAATTCTATCGTGCACACCGATACTCTTCTATCTGATAGTCTTTGTTTATCACAATTCAACGCGCATATCACTAACATATGTATGGATTTGAGTAAAGTAACGTTTATTTAACGCTCATTCTATGCAATAAGGTTTCGTTATGAAAATTCTTCGATACACTAAGAAGATAGAGCATTTGACGCTCTACAAAAAAAGATATTTTACTTTGCTAAAATTTGTCGATAAAACTCGGCATGAGAACACATGAATACACGAGAGCTATATTTTGTTCTTGGAAGTTGTTATTACTGCATTTCCGCAATACTATTTCAATAAGCCATTTTACTTTCAGTGGCATGACAACCATTTGAATACGATTTTATAGAGGATCAAACGCTGAATCTTTTGAAAAAAAACTCCTGTCAAAAATAATGAAAAAATACTGAGACCTTCATTATTTATGGGCCAACCGTTACCTTTTTCCATGTTTCACCAATAGAAAAGGTTGATAATAACAGCACATATACTTAGGGCATACCAAAAGTTCGTAGAGTGATGCCTTAATATCTTATGATAAGCTTTTAGTAACTTTCTTTCCATATAGTCTGATAGAGAAAAGAATGCTCTATCTTTCTATGCTATTTGATCNGAAAAGGTTGATAATAACAGCACATATATTAGGTGCTTCTATCTGTCATATGCCAAAAAATTGAGGCTTCTAACCCTTGCTGTTACAAATATATAAGCATCTTAACATTTCATAGAAAATGTTGAATTATTATCAGGATATTTTTAATGCTATTTTTACCGATGTTAAAAGAAAAGATCGTGAATTTAGAAAGCTTCACAAATGAACCACCCCAAATCAAATGAACAAATAATATGTTTCTTCATCTTCATTAATTCCCTCTTTAAATCGATTCAGTATTGTTCAGGTGGAGAGTTCTAAGACAGTCGTGACTGTTGGAAATATCCGCGCATCATATGCAGAATTTTCCCAACATGATGTATTGGATGTTCCCAGCGTATTTCGTATGTCTCATATTGGACTTTCTCAACATATTCGTATACATTGTACTCAGCTTTGCCCAGCATGTGCACATATATATGTCCATGCTTCTTTCGTTCCAGTGGTTCGCTTCTTCGTTGTTCGCCAGTGCGCTAGCTATTTTCGTTCTCTCTCTCTCTCTCTCTCTCTCTCTCTTCCCTATTGTCTTTCGTTATTCACTATATCGTGTTAAGTGTTGTATGAATAAATCGAAGTCACTCATACAATCACAGAGATTGTTTTATGGAACACACTTGTTAGCTCTGATGTTATGAGTGAATGCAACTAGGCAGCGACGTGGAATGAAAACAGAACGGAGAAAAAGATGAAGACCACACGGGACTCGAACCACACATCTTAGTTACACTAGAAGGGACATCTCATCTCCGTCTAGAGTTTGAGGGGATTCACTCCGACGCTAACAACCCTGAACTAAAACGGAAGTGAAGAACATTTTCCAAGTGAACTAGAATGCGAAAACTAATGGCAAAAAGCGGAAAACTGCTACTGGGACAAAAATAGAAATGATGGACAAATATTGAATTGATTGAAAGAGGGAATTAGTCAAGATGAAGAAACATATAAAGTAGAGAATACATCCTATTCCGCGATGTTGAACATTGCGGAATCAGTTCCGGTGCGGAACTGATTCCGTCCAATTCCGGGAGCTCGATTATGATTCTACAGAACAGACCCCATCGATATCGATCGAATTCCTTCTCATTCTGGAATTCCTTCCAATTCCCACTAATTTCCTCTCCACTCAATTCCAGGAATTCCGCAACGGAATTACTTCTCGCCCTCACCCACACTCATGGTGCTGTGGCTGATGATTTATCCTTACGATAAGTTAGTAATTCCGGTACGGAATTCCTTGTGATTCCGTGAATTCCTTCCAATTCCCACTAATTCCGTCTCCACTCAATTCCCGGAATTCGTGGAACTCGATTGATATCGAATAGGTCTCTTTTGCTGAATGATGACGGAGTTTCCGGAATTGGGTGGAACTGATTCCATAGACGGAACTGATTCCGCAATGTTCAACATCGCGGAATAGGATGACTGCTCATAAAGTACGGAAAGAAAGTTCTCAGAACTTTTGTAATCGATATATCTTTGAAACTATATTAGCAGTTTCAAATAATAAATAGCCATTTTAAAGAGCATTTAAAAGTGTACTTATTGTATAAAAATAAAGGTTCCAACTCAGGAAACAAGAGAGATATAAATGTGAGAATGTCATGAATGTTTTTTATGTATTTCATTTTTGTATTTTAGTTTCAAGCGCCTTTGTAAATGCGATGAGAAAATCTTTTTAAACATTAGTTTATAGAGTGGAGCTTGCTCTATATAATGCACAAGTTTTTTAAACTCTTGTTTCATACTTCTACAAACGATCAAAATTTAATGTATCTTAATTGATGTGAAAAAGTGTGCCTGATTGGATGCAAGCAATTTCTTGATTTATGCAGGTATTCACTCACAGATGACCAATCTTAAGTCAGAAAAAAATACTGAAGCTACACTTAGAAAGAGCGTCAAATTTTGATTATAACTGGCTACTTTTCGTTCTCTCCATTAGGTCACGGATGTCCGACAAGCGAGCAAAGATAAGTAGTAAGAATTGTTAGCTGAGCGTTATGTACAGACGTCATTTTTGGTCCCTTCAAGGATTTGCTCTTAATGAATTAACAATAAGTTTTATAAAATATTTGCATGCATATTTAGAAAGAGCATGAAATTGTGATTCTGGCTGGCTAGTTTTGATTTTCTCTACTGAATTATACATGGGCGAAAACTGACTAAACATGCAGTGCAAAGCCTTTTTGTAACAAGACTAAAAACCGATGCTGAAAAATGTTCATGATATTCTCACATTTATATCTCTCTTGTTTCCTGAGTTGAAACCTTTATTTTTATACAATAAGTACACTTATAAATGCTCTTCAAAATGTCTATTTATTATTTGAAACAGCTCGTGTAGTTTCAAAGATATATCGATTACAAAAGTTCTGAGAACTTTTCTTCTGTACCTAAGTATGCATATTCATATTAATAAAACAAACTTATTGAATGACTTTTTATATTTCAAAGCATGCGAATAATTGTTCTCATTTAACTATTCAACCAATTGACGTTTATTATGAATGGTGACATTGTATCACAACTCATGTTATATCCGGTTAAAAATAGAATTAAAGCCGTTACTTTTTACTTAACAATAGTTCATGATAAGTAATGTCAATAATGTGATTGCAATATAATTTAACGAATTCGATCTCGGAGAGATGGATAGTTCGACCCATGTACAGCAATAAATTTTAATCAATAGAAAATCACATTTCATCATCGAATTGTTCATTATAACGGGTGGGCCAGAATAAATTGCACCAAATATGTTGCTTTTTTTTGTTCATTTCCTGCTCAGGAAATATACTCATTTTTATATTAAAAGATAGAGAATTTCAAGCTCTACAAAACTGTTTACTTTGTTTTTCAAATACGTTTTTCTTGTCAGCTCCTAATTAAAAAGACTCACATCTACTCAATCATTCAACTGCGATTTGCTGTTTTCTGCAGACATTAATCGATCAGTGCAAAGTTTTGCTCATCAAGGTCAATGCTAAATATAAAGTATTTAACACCTATAAATAGGGAATTTTGTGGTCTATCTATCCATGACCTTTTCAAGGTTCCTGGTGTTGTTTCTCAGGGGGGAGGAAGCTAGGAACTGATACCTGGCATTATTTTATGGTATACTTTGGAGAATCATGTTGTTAAAAGACAAAGTTGCTCTATGAAAGACTTATTATTATGACATCGGATGTAGAATTCAATTCTGAACAAAATGTTGTAATTGTTAAATTGAAGTGTAAAAAAACTTACGTTGTTTCGAATTAAAAACAGAAGTATGGCCCAAGTATATCAGAAAAGGGCTTTTTCGTTGTTTTCACGTATTTTCCTTCGAACCTACCTCTCTCAAATATTTCCTCTCAAATTCTGAAACATGCAACCAAAGATGCAGAATTTTACGAAGTTTTTTGTAGCATAGTTTAAATTTTAACTGAATCATTATTTTAACCCTTTGGGGGCGGAGTTACTGCAGCAAAAATAAATCATTTTTTTGAAATACTGAACAATGCATTTATTCGCAAATATAAAGAATAAACGATTAGAAGTATTTCAACATATGATAATTGCGAAAACAGTCAGAAATACAAAGTCTGACGTTACATTCAGTGCACTCGTATCTGGAAACAGCTCTCTTTTTAGCTCTTCTTGTTGTATTTGCGCAGACCACGCATTGTTTTCTAGGATTTTCTCTTGCGGTTGTTGACGGTATAAGTGACGCGAAATTGCGACCAATAAATCTATTAGGATTTTCTCCACAGCTAGGCCGACCTCTTGGTGCTTTTGACTTTCCATACATCTCAATGATTTGACGAATCAACTGTAATCGAAATTCATACAACCGAATATTGTTACGAGTCTTATGTTTGTATAAAAGGAACGAATTGAGCACAGATAAATCCATAAAATGGAAGAAAAGTTTTTTGTACCATTTCGTTGTCTTTCGAATACACTCAACACAACTAATCTGCAAATAGGATCTGTCAATGGAGCCCATATTTGTATTATATGCTATCACAGAAGCTGGTTTTTGAATTTGTTTATTAGTTTTCCAG